GTAAAATAAATTTATAGTTTTTTGCTTTTTACCTAAACTTGGACAGGATTTCAACGACCAGGACAAAAGCGAATAGAATTTTGGTTTTAAAACTTCTGGTCTTGCACTCAGCCAAAAAAGTTCGCTTGCAAATCTCTACTTCTTAGTCATTGTCTTTTCAAGACTGAAATGTGTGAAAATAAGTGCATAGCTCCCTCTTAAAGAGTCCTTGCTGAATGTGGGTGCAGCGGAAAAAAGCAGGACAGTGAAATTCGTATGTGAAGCATTTTGCAGAAGTTTGCAGATTTCAGCAAATTACAAATTTTAGCATCATTTTACTTCAGATTCACTAAGCTTCAAAAGAATTTCTAAATTCCAGAGGAAGGATTTGTTTTCAAAACAACTTAGTGCAGCCGGTGCAGCTTAGCTTCCTCGACGGGAAGCAATCAGCTACTGCAACGCTAATGCTGGGCAATTTGAAACGAGAACAAATGGAGCATAAATTATTTGGCATCTATTTGAAAAGCACATTTTGTCCAATAAATCGATGCCCGCAGGGCAAAAAATGATGACTTTGGAGAGGACGATTAAGTCACATTCGCCCCTCATCTCCATGATAGCTAGGATACTGCTGACTGTTGCGGAAATAAACTGTAAATGCAGATCATTCAGAGGAATTTTAGTTGGAAATTATCAGTTTTCGGGCAGTTTCGTCCATGAGATTTTCAAAATCGATATGTGAGGACTGAATTTTTCGAAGAAAATGACAATATTTGTATGAAATGCATAATTCTTTACTACAACAATTTGTATATCTAAAGGGTCATTATTAGCCTCCCTAATCTTTTAAGTCCTCAGTGCCACTGAAACACAATAACATAAACAGCGCGGCTATTCCAAGCGATCCCTCATCCTACGCGAATTAAAGTTGCTTCACATCTTCACACTAATTAGGTTTGTACTACCTAACCTGAACCGGTAAATAGGGCAAAGTGGGACTACTCCCTGGGTCATTGACTCTATACAGATGTTACTACCCTACAGCATGAAGGCATTTCGGTGAGATCTCATAGAGTAAGTATATTAATGACACAAAAATTTTTACATAATCTTCACAATCTGTTTGCTGCGGTAGCACTCTTGCTACAAGAGTACGGTACTTCGAGTTTATTGGCAGAGACGACCTCAGTGTTTTCTAGCTCTCTGCAAGTTGTTGATACGGTAAAAAATATCTCACTTTTGTGACTTTTCCCTCACATTTTTTATTTGTATAAAATTTTATTTAGAGGTGATCGTGCTCTTTTTTGTCTCTTTTCCACAAGTGTACCCTTTAAAATTTTCGCAAGTGCCACAATTTTTGAGTAATTAAGTGAGGGAGAAGAAAGGAAGAAAGACGAAGAAATTTTGAGTGAAAAAAAAACACTTTACTACAAACCTTCTTCTCTCGAAATTGTGGGCTTGTACCAGTACTTTGATGTATCTTTCACAAAGAGCGGATGATGATGGATCACTTCGCCCGGCTCTGCAACAGTTTCTTCATTTACTGCTGACACTGAAGGGTATCATACTCGCCTGTCTTTTTGTTTGAAACAAATCATATCCTCACAGAGGAACAGATGACAGTTTCGGGTAGATGCCGGAAGTAAATTTAAAATAAATGCATAAATCTAAATGGAGAACGAAACCAAAAGGTTTAGAATCAATTTTAAGGGTGAAAAATCAGAACTCCCTCCATCTTCACTTTTTATTAAATGTGAAGATGCTCGGAAAAAAAGCTCAAGAGGTAACACACTCTCCATTTGAAAAAAGGTTGCATACAAAATAATTTTCACTTCCTATTAATTTCCGATAATTCAAGATGTAGAAAATGCAGAAACATGAAGGAAAATCAGCAGTGAACGAATTATGTGGTTTTTTTTCAGCATAACCTTTTTCAGACTTAATATGCTTGCAGTTGAAACTTGCCAGGTCGTCGGTTTTTTAATGATAAGCTGATCATCCACCGATACGACACGAAGGAAAAAGCTTTTTGAAAAAAAAATGATTGCCACACTAACAACTTCTTATACCAAAAATTCTGATGACAAGGGAAATGCACTTTGTCTCAAATCCTTTTTCTTCTCGCACCGGGTTCACTAAGTGCGTCAAATTACCTCTTACAAAAGAAAATCTAATAAAAGGATCGCAAGATCTGACAACTGTTTGGTGCAAACGTACTTTCGGGGCAGGACACAAGTACTCTAAATTTAAAAATTAATCATTTTTACACAAAATCAATGACTGAAGGTGTTTTTTTGAAGTAATGCACTATTTTAAAATAGTGAAAAATTTTTTATTATTTACATCTTAAATTGTATATTAATGCTTCATTGATGCCATTACACGAGGAAGTAAAATTCGACTAGCAGGACATGTTGCTCACCTTGCCGACGACCAGTGGACGTCGCGCATTAGTTAGTGGTACCGGCAATAAAGAAAAACACTACTCGGACTCTCCCCAAGGAATAGGAGGCTTTGCCGACGATTTCCACTCTTATTCGCATTCGATGTTCTGTTTCTGCTTACAGTTAAGAGATGAAACACAGACTGCACCTGATCCTTTCGAACATGTAAAATTCGAAAAACCTTACTAGGTATTATATATTATCGGATGGGCGGCGGGTACCATCATGAGATATGCAATGCCAGTATCAAAGGGCCTGGAACTGTGCTAGATGTGTGGGAGCATCCCGGTAACATCAGTGACATGAGATACCACAGTGACGGCTAGGCGGTCTTGGTATTCCTGATAATAATACTTGTATTACTTCTGATCAATGAAAGATTACTTACTTAAAGATTTATTAGCATAAATAATTTTAGGCTGATCTTTTTGAACTGCCGTTGAGTAAGCTGATCGAACACCAGTGCTGGTGTTAGCCAGAGCAGTATTCATATTGATTGTTGCGTCTTTCCAGCTATCGTTGACTCCGAGAGGACTTTCAGAATTTGTTCTGCCACTCCAGAAATCCGAACTTTTTGACGTAGTTCTATCATCCGGAATCTCTGGACTTTTGGAGGAAGTAATACGAGTAGTGGCAGTAACCGCACTTGACAACTTTGCCGATGTATCTGCGAATTTAGTACCACAAACATTCCCCTTCAATTTTTTACTACTTTCCAGAGAATTTACTGTCGGTGTCTCTGAGTTCTTGGTACTGGGAGCAATTACTTCCAGATTCGGACTTCCTTTCGGAGTCCTAATTGTCCGTATTTCTGAACTTTTAGTGCTAGAAACGTTTTCTTCCAGATCGGGAGAACCTTCCTTCGTTTTGATAGCAGACGCTTCAAGACCCCTAGAGCTTGCGGTGTTCACTTTCGAAATGGGACTACTTTCCGAAATCCTAGCTGATGGAAGGGCCGGTTCATTGACCAAGGAATGTGCTTTCGATTCGCAGGAGCTGCCAGAAATGTGTTCTCGTAAAATTCCACCGTTTGAATTTTTTTCTAATATTTTTGGCTCTGCATTTTCATCATGTGCTCCCTCCTGCTTAATTTTGATCTCCCGTTTCACGGAAATACCGCTCTCAGCAGCTGATTCTTTTGTTGTGATACTGCATTTCGGAGAGTTCTGTTCGAGTAAATCGTTTGGTTCGTGCACTTCAAGAAATTCCTGCGTCACAATCCTCTGCATGTCTTTATTTTCAGCCTTTCCAATTTTCTTGATGTAAACGATTTTTGTTTTTCCAGAGGAGCCATTCAGATATTTCGTATTTTCGATGGCTTTTTCGTGATCCAGTTCCTCAGCGCTGTGTGATTTTTGAGCTTCCAGAGATTCACTTTTTAAGATCTTGGCGCTTCCACTGTTCGGAGGGGATTCTTGTCTTCCCCTAATTTCTTTAACGTCCGAAAGTGCATCATTCTTTTGAGATCCTGAACTTAAGTGATTTTGAAGTTCCGCAGCTGGATTTTCCTGGCAGTCTTGCGTTTCATACGATTTCTTCTTCGCTATTACTGGTGGTGGTGATGCTGCTGCTGCATCATCCAGCGGTAGTTCGCTTGCAATACTTGTTGATGCTGATGTTGAGCTTTGGTCCGATCCGGACATTGGCCTTCTGTATTCGTCACAGCTAACAAGGGAAATCAGAAATGTGATATATCAGAGAGCAGTTAGTTGATTACGAACGAAAATTTGATTTTAAGTTGACTCCATATTATCGCAAGAATAGTTAGCACTGCCACAGCCACATTCAGCGAAACCACTAAACAAAACGTAGACAGCGACTTAATTTTGGCTTCTTTTTGTGTGATATAAAAAATGAGATATTCTGAACCGGAACGGAACGGCAGTCCACAGCAGCACGAAAAACCGACTGGTTGCGATTGTTCAGGAAGAGCAAATCAACTGACCAGAGCAACAACGGCAGCAATCAGTCACCGAGTACAACCGGAAATGAATAGAAGCCTTACGAGCTGATGACGCAAATAGACCTCAAGACGTCCAGTAAATGCAGGACGATAAAAGAGGATAGATTTCAAGCGTAGGGTACAGTAGCGCTGTACTGTGATGCCAACAACAGTAACACCAACAAATGATGCCAACGTTGACGATTACTACTTTGGTAATGAGAAGTAACGACGGTGGCAATAATGTTGGTAACGGGAGCGATGATGATGATGGTGGTGATGATAACGATGCAACAGCGGGTGCCACTAATTAATAAACAAAAAGGTGTGAAAAGAAGAGAAATTATTAGTAAGCAATCAGTAAGAGGGTGGTTGAGACACCAGGCCAAGATGTGCTTCTTCTTCCCGAGTCGATAGTTGTAGAAGTTGTAAGAGATGGATGATTCGTTGAGGATGCGAGGGAGGGAGCAACGGCTCGCCTGTTCTTGCTCCCGTAAAGACGGGTACTGATGTACGCTAGGAGGGGAGAAGAAAATTTCGTGAGGTGTGTGTCAGCTGCTTTCAATTTGTGCGTTGAAGCAACAAGAAGCAAAGCAGCAGCTATTATTATATAGTTCCGACTGATCAAAACTTCACCGTCAGAAGGAGGAGGAGAAGCAGGAGGAGGAGGAGGGAGTTTCTGGAAGAGGACCAGGATGCGAACGGGCAGAGAGCAGGATCATCACTTTATGAACGACGATAAATTGATGGTGGCGATGGCATGCTGCACCAGCCCCAAGTGCACCGCCAACCACTACTAGCAGCAAGCAGTACGAAGAAGAAAATGGCGGTCGGTGCTGGTATTCCGAAATGCACCGAGGACGGACGACCGGCGAGTTGGTTGGGTTGGTGAACTCTGCTACTGATAAAACCACGCCTAGTTCTTTTCAGACGAGGGAGAAGAGAGGGAGGGAGCGACTGCAATAAGCAGCTTGCCCTCAAATATTTCAAATTCTCCCAATAGCAGTGGGCGAGGGTGTAAAACCAGTGACAGTACTGCGCCAGACAAGAAATGGTACTTCAATAAAACACACATCACACGGAAAAGATCGCATTTTTTCACTCAGTTACTTTAGATCTGTTCGACACAACTCATTAACAGTTTTCCGCTGCTCAGCCGTACAAACCACACTTTCAATTGTCCAGTGGTGGCGGTACCCGGCCGCAAGTGCATAATTCCTCACATTCCTCTTTATGCGTTTACACTCCGAAAAAAATTGTTTTTTTTAAATAGTTTTTTTATCGGCATCAATTGCCGCCTTTTAATAAAAAATACATTGATTTATGGAGCTCTGAGGAGTATTCCGATGCATTCCAAGAGTTTCTTCGCACTTTTTACGCATTAAAGAAAAAATGCATATGGAAAGCTATGACACCTTACGAATGTGAGTGACCATTCAGTAGGGTGGAGATGAGAAACGATGCGAAAAAATGGCCCAGTGATTTTTGATTTGAGAAATGCAACGGAAAGGGAAGGCTGAAGGAACGCAGTCAGAGTTAACGAAATTTGACAGCACATTTTCGAGCCTAAAAAACGAATGGTTGTAAAGTTTTCACCGTTGGCAGGAAAAACTTTTTACGATCTCATTTGCCGCAAACTTATTTTCGTAAGATTTAGAATACCAAGTTTATGGCTATAGTCACTACAGCCGTAACACAAGCCACTGTCTTATAATGTTAGGATGTGCATGTCTCTTCCCAAATTTATTAACCTAAAGACCACTGGGCTGATATTTACAAAAAACGCAAGAAATTTCCTCCGTCTTGATTACTCTCGACTCTTGAAGAAGCTAAAATTCACTAAATTTCAGAGGTGTACCAAACACAGAGTTTTCAGACTTTCCACAAA